ACCAGGCAGTTCGCCACCAAGTAGCTCATCACCAAGGCATGTCACCACCGGGTCAAACAACGAGGTACTTAGCCAAAAAATTTATACATCACAAAAAATGGTACGTGACCAAAACGGYTACAGCACAAATGTTTGTCATTTGACTCATTTCCAATATATTAATAACTTTAAATCATATTGATTTCATTGAGCTAATAGTGCTAAGCACAAAAATTTCAAAATATGAGATGCAAGTATTTGAAATACAAGGTGTGAGGGTGTAAAGTATTTAGTAAAAGAAGTTATCAAAATGCACTATACATGTGGGATGTATAAATGTACGATACAAAATGTAGAGTGTAAGATGTGTAAGATGTACAGTAATAGATATAAACATGTAAGCATGAAAGATGTCGAGCATAAGATATGAACATGTAAGGTTTAAGATTTATGTTCGTAAGTATATGAGATACTTGTGTCTAGGAATGGAACATCAAGGGCTTGAGCTTGTATCATTGAATCCTAGCTTATTACATTCATTACATAGTAAATAGATTGAGTTTGTATCATTTATCATCTAACTACTGAAAGGCTATATTGCTTTCGTTTGTTATTGTATTTAATTGACTAAGCCCTGTTTGAGAAAACTTATAATAAGAAATACTTCTTTTAAGAGTTGGGACCACACATTAAGTGGTTATTAAGTGGTTCTGTCTGTTTGGTAAAAAARTGGGGAATAAGTATTTTTTTAAAGAAGTGCATCGTTAAAAAAGTTACTTCAAGTTGGCTTTTTTTTCAACACTTCTTGAAGAAGTACTTCTCCAAAAGAATGGGACGAACCAGTCCCTAATATTTTCTTATAATACCTAAAATACCCCCGTGCAAGGGTTATACCTCCATCTCCTCTCATTCGAACATCTCTACCAGGTAGCGGCGCACCCAATTACAGGTCCACCGGTGACGAGGAAAAGTGGCCAGTGGACCTGTCGTTTGGCCACTTTCTTCTATTTTTTGAAGTTATTCTTCTCATTTAATAATTTTTTTTGGYTTTTTTAATTTGAACTCCCCTGTTCTTTGCAGATCTAGACTTGAACTCCCCTGTTCTTTGCAGATCTAAACTTGAACTCCCCTATTCTAATGGTGACAGTCTCACCGTCCAGCCAGCGGCAACAAGAGGTTAGTTTACCAAACTCCTCCCCTCCAAGTTTTTTCTTCTTGGGTTTTTTTTTAAACTTGAAAGTCCCATTTTTTGTCTTGTTTTTTGTATTTTTTGGAAATATTTGATTTATTTTTTATGCAAACAATGATGTTAAAATCTGAGA